ATAATTCAGAAGCCACATTGTTGATAATGCACATTCAGTGCCAAAACTGAATAGGGATCATTCCAGATAAGGTAGTTTCAGTGTCATTTGCAAAATGACCTGGTAAAAACCTTTTTGTAACACAACATAATTTTGTAACACAAAAACACAATTTTGTAACAATTCTTGAAAAGAACACCACCACCATAAACAAACACAATATAGAACTGAAAGAACAGAAACAATTGTTAATAATTACAAAAAGGCATGAAGAGTATGAAGGAAGCTGTGTGACTATTCAGTTATGTTTGCTTGTATAATCTAGGTGTAAACTCTTCATTTCAAATCCTGTAGTGGACGTTAATGCTGAACAAGTCATTTGTACACATCCCTTATGATTCCACTAATTACAAACTAAGGTCAAAGTTGTTTATTGGCATGCACAAGTAGTTTATAACATTGACATCGATAATTGTTTAATTATGTCACCATGAAAGGGGACATCAAATTTGCTGTTATCTGATTGCATGTAATAGTCAATATACCCGTATGAATTGCTTTCGTTATGACATTTGCTAATTCAATAGTTCTGCTGATAACTATTGACTTTCCCTTAAAAAAAAAAAGCAAACCAAAAACTAGTTGATCCAAAGTTATTGCATCTGCTGCATCTGTACTTTATTCAAATACAATTACCTACAGCTTGCAAAATAGTCCTGGGACATGTACATCTTTTTCTTAGAATCAGTTGTCTCACTTTAAAACCCACTAGTAACTATTACATGTTTACCTTTCTTATTTATATTTGATCATTTTATACATGAAGATCATGCTTTTGTATGTCATGAAAGCATAAGCAATAAGTGAACAGGATATTACACCCATGTAAACTAATAATAAAAATGAAGCAACAACTCAAAGTCTAGGAGAACATTAAACCCATTTCTCCTTGAAGGACATGGCCTCAAAATATTAAACCAAGGTATGTTTGATTTTTTATAAAGCATCATGGGCATTACTTCAAAATGGCTAGGACAAAATGGCTGCCATAGATGGCCAGTCACAGTATTTTGGATGGCCAGTCACAGTATTTTGGAGGTGTCCCTCCTCTCATTCTCTGTGCTCTCTTTCACACAAAGAAGGCATATTCGGAGAAAACACAAGCACGTTATTTTCCCCCCTGTGCAACTCGAAGAGTCTGGGGGCAGGGAGTGAGTGGCACTGTCCAGATGGCCTTTGACAGGGAAGAGTTATTTGCAAGGACTGGGCTCCCCCATCAGCCCTTGCAGTATAGGTTCTTCCTTCCATGCAATTTCTAATGGAGAAATTGCTGTATTCCATTTAATTCAGTTAGAATCTAGCAGGCACCTCTGGAGTCTCATGGGTGCAACACCATTCTCAGGAATGATGTTGGAGATGACAATATTTGATATGTCTGACCCTTGGGACATGGCTTCTAATCTTGGAACATTCCACTGGTGACAATAGAAAATATTGAACAAGCACCTTAATGTCTTTATGTGGTATCAATATAATTTGTGCAGCAAAGTTGTATGATAGTCATTGTGGGCAGAGAATTTTTGTTTTTGTGCAGCAGTACTACACCAAATTAATACTGTTGTTCTGCAGATACAGCTACAACTTCCTGTTATGAGAGAACCTGAGCTACCATGAAGGTCAACACTCAATGAATTAATGTCTGCATACATTTCTTATGCAGTTAGTCGGATTAGATGAGGCAGGGTAGGAATAGGAATGAAAATAAATGTTCAGTGTGCCGTCCTAACATTATTTTGTCCTCTTTAGGCCTGTCTTCATATGAAGTAATCTATGTCAGGCAGTGATAGTGAAACTTCAGATGCAGCAAACCATGAAAGACTTGCCCCAGCCGCTGCTGAACACACACTTGTCACAAGGTGCACTATTGTACGGCCAAATCACACCACCCTGCGCACCTCCACAGATACGCGTTACGTAGTGCCTGTCCACTTGCAGCTGAACACTCAATAGTTTGCTTTCTTAGGCCAATTCTGTATTTCAGCAACCGACAGAAAAAATAATATAAATAGACGTGGTAGCCTTGAAAACATAAATGAGGTTAATGTTCTGTTTTGTAGTTTAGAAAGGTATTGCAGTCCGGATGTCCAAACTGGTTTAAATTAACCCATTTGCCTGTGTAATAAAAAAATCCTATCTCTTTCATTAAGACCTAGTTACATTGCGGCCTTTCAAGTTGCCACTAGAGGGAGTCTGGGCACTTTCAAACGATTGAAAAGCCCGAGAAAGTAGCGTCGTAGAGAAGGGAGCCAAATGGATGAAAGACTAAAGAACATGATGAAGCGTTTTTTTCCTGCTCCCTCCCTCCCTCCTGCTGCTGCTGCTGAAGAAGACGAATAAGAAGAAACCACGGCAGATACAGCCACATCATGCTTGGAAAACATTTCGCTCCAAGCTAAAAGTCCCCCTCCAGTTTCAGAGGAAGAAATGAAACCTTTATCCCAAGAATTCAGACACCGATGCGTGCGTCTCTTTTGCAAAGTTTAGGACGCTGGAAGACTAACAGAAAGGGTCTCGGGGACTCGGATTCCCCAATATCTTCAATCCTCCCGGAAAATACTTCGGATGGATTGCTGCAGACCACCACTGAGTGATCACAGAGCGTCAGCCGGTCCCTTCAACTGCCCTTCCCAAACTTTGGACCTCGGCAGGGTGTGGTTTTCTGAGAAGAGGGGACGTACGGCTCTTTTAGTTACCTTCTAGAGAAAGGTCACCTCGGCAAGTGTTGTGGTAGAACAGCATACAGATACAGCTTTTGCACAGGAAGGTGTTCCTGTCCTTTGACAGCTCTTAATGTAGGAGCTACTTCTACTCCCGTTCCAAATGTATGAGGTGCGAGACAGGATTCTGGCTACTCACTTTGCCGCATTCAGTCGGAGCTAAGCGAAGGTTCCGCGGCCGACCGATGCACACCGACGATTTGCAATCGCGGTGGCAGCAAGGCAAACCTATTTCATGATCACAAACTCTTGCTTTTAAATAAACGAATTCAAAAGCCCTGCAGCTGAGCCGCCATTTGGCAACGCCAAACACTTTTGTGGAAAGAAGACGATTAAACGCAGATGTGAAACCTGTTTCTAGGCTGCTAAACTTCGTGCGCGCGAGTGCGCGCGCTACGTTCTGATTACACAAGTGCGCGAGACTCGACTTATCGTTTGCGGTCAAATTCATCCGATCTCCCCACATCCCCCCTTCGACCCCTTAACAGCCGATGCCGTGTCCCCTTCTACTGAATTTGGTTAATGGTTCTCGCATTTCTTTCGCTGCCTGCGTTTTCACGCGGAATGTAGAGAGCCAGCGCTAGCCGGCCAGGGCATCTCCAACATGACCCTACATCGTATTCCTCGCACAAACGGTCACCTGCAGCATCAAGAAACCACTCCTTGTAATTCAATTACTCTACTCAGGTTCTCACAAGGTGGGGTTGTTGCGAGTGCGGGGGGATCAGTTTGGCATGAGGGGCGGAGCACGTGAAGGAAACGCCCCTTTCCTAGGATCGCAGTCCAATCGGGTTCGAGCGAAGCAAGGAAGAAAAAAACCAATCTGTAAGCAAACAGTCTGCGCTCTGACTGGCTGCTCGAGCAATCCGCCCCCCCCCCCATGCAAGTAAACTGCATGCAAAAAACCCACATGATCACCCAACAGCGCCTTTGCTCCCAGCCAGTCGACTGCACCTCTTTCACACACGCACACACATACATGCGCGCACGCGCGCGGAGCCTTTCAGATCTGTCCTGTCACGCACATACACATGTGGATGTGTATATATTATACATCCCGTGTATGCATCTGTGCAGCTGTCTGTTGCACGCAGACTCCCGCCCCGCTATCCTCTTCGCTTTGCCTGGTCTGCTGCTGTCGGATTTACACGCAAGGAAGAAATCGGTCATTGAAAAAAAGAAAAAAGTGGGCGTGACTATTTTAAAGACCCCCCCCCATAAATTATTTCTTTCTTTTTTCCTCTCCTCCTTCCTTCTCTTGGGCAGTGTTGACTTCTGCTCCTCCAATCCTCGTTGCTTCTAACGATCCCAGTCTGCCAACCGCTGCATTCGAGTTTTATTTCATTTGCTTGCCGGAGCCACGAGAGAGACATTTCTCCGCTCCTTTCTGCCGCCGCCGCCGCCGCCGCTTCAGAAGGTTGAGAGCAGCTGCCTGCCAGGCAAGACCCTGAGGCTCCCTCCGCCTGCCTGCCTTTCTCCTCTTCTAATGTAGTCATCTGCAAGGCGAGCACCTTTTCTTTTCCTCCGCCGCCACCGCCGTCTTTTGCAAAGTTGACGTTTCAGGGACTTGGACCTTCCTTTGCTCCCAGAGCCACTTGGCGAACCTTCACGGAGAGATCGCTGCCGCCTCGCCTGGGGGCTCTCCGGCAGCATCTGCTTTGTACAGAGGAGGCAGCTCCACAGCGAAGCCGCTCGGAGGAGTTTGGGGGCTGTTTCTTCCCCCGGCTTAGGCTTCCCCCTTTCCTCCGCTTCCTCCTCAAGCAATTCGGTTTGATAGCCTCGGATTGCAAACTCCCCTTCTGTTCTCCCCGCCCGCTCGCTCCCTCCCTCCCCTCCCCCACCCACTCCAGATTCTTGCTGCCGCCAGTTCTGGTTCTGCGGATTCCTCTCGCTTGTTCATCCATCACCCAGGAACAGGAAAGACGAGAAGCCTCCCTCAGCGAGCGAGCGAGCGAGCAGGCGGGCGAGGCGCCTCAACTCCGGCTTGAGAGCGCGGGAGGAGCAGGAGACGCGAGAGCGCCCAAAGTGGACTTTTTCTTCCTCTTGAGGATTTCCTGTCAGCTCTGCGCGACCGGCCTCGGAGCGCTCCCTCAGAGCCCTAGCGCCAAAAGGCGGGAAGAAGCAAGCCCCAGAGAGAGGGAGGGAGAAGCCTTTCGGAGGCGAGGCGAGGCGAGGCCAGGACAGCGGAGCCGCCCCTCGGCGGCGCTGGACGGGGGCAGGGCCGGTGTATGTCTCGCCTTGGGCTCGGCACAGGACTCGTCGCCGTGAATGAGCTCCTCCCGCCTCCTCCTCCGCCGTCTGTTGCTGCTGCTACCGCGGGTGCCCGCTTCGGCTCCCAGCTCCCCCTACCGGGGCACGCAGGCTCCATAAGGATCTCTCCTCGCCACAGGCTTTCTTCCGGAGGGGATCTCCTCGTGGCTCTTTGCCTGCCTTGCACTTTTCTCTTTGTGTGTGTCTTGTGACTTGGTGTGGTTTGTCTTTTTTTTCTTACCCCCTTTCACTTTCCTTGGTGTTGTTCTCCTTTGTTGTTGTTGTTGTTGTTCTTGAAGAAAAAAAAAAAGAAAACTCTATCCACCCCTGTGCTGTGTCTTGTTGGCCGGGAGTGATGTTGCACGTGGAGATGTTGACGCTGGTCTTTCTGGTGTTCTGGATGTGCGTCTTCAGCCAGGATCCCAGCTCCAAAACGGTGGCCGATCGCTATGCCGTCTACTGGAACAGCACCAACCCCAGGTAAGACGGAAACCCAATGCAGTACTGAGCTGGACTGAGGTCTGTAGGGCTCTACCCATACCAACATCTTCAGCACCAGCCTCTTACCATGTATGTTTTGCGTAGTTGACGAGGGAACTAGAGCTTTGAGAAGTGGAAGGGTGGAGTGGACTGTCTTCCCCTAGGAAGCACCATCCGATTAAGTTCTTAAAGTATTTGGAATGAGGGCACTTGTTTGGAATAGGGAGCAAACTTTTTGTCTTGTAGCTCTAGCATGGGCAGCATCGTCTTGTACCTTATTTCTCCTCTTCTTTTCTGTATTGCATCAGTCCAGGTGATTTTGTTTATAGTTCCTGCAGAACGCTTCTGTTATCTTTACTAGGCATCTGAAACTTGCAGTAAATTACTCATGCAAGCAATACCTGAAATCATACATCCAGGAAGTGCGTGTGTTTCCTTAGTATCAGGTTTTGTTTTGGGTTTTGGTGGGCAACTAAAAACAAAACAGATTTCTAGTCTGCTTTTACAGTAGTAAAACTTTAAAAAGTTAGTGTGGTGAGAGCTGCAAACTGGCATATGGTGTCATGGCTTATTTCAGAGTGAATTCATCTTTATTTTTTATTTATTTAGATATATTTATAGTCTGTTAAACTGTGATTGTAACAGACCCATGTCACATGTGGCACCTGTTCTGTGTCAGAGTATTTGATGTAATAGAGGAATAGAGTTAGCATTGCTCTCTAGCTTTGCTTCTCCCCATCTGTTTTCCTGGGGTTGAGGGTACATGAATCTCATGTAAGCAGGTTATGCCAGGTTAATTGAGTAAAGATACCTCCAAGTTTTTAGTGTTTCAATGTAGTTAAATGAAGTTTCACATGGAAAAAGGGTGACTCAAACTGTCAGAACAAATTCAAGTGTGATAGTTGTTGATGCTCTCAAAAGCAAAAGGAAATGTTATGTAGACCTTGGATGATGATGATTAAAGGAAAAGCAACCCTTCATGTTCATAAAGTGAGTTCGCATCAGGAACTGGCACTGTGAATGAGAGATTTCCCTAAAAGAGGAGACAGTGCTTATAATACCTAGTAAAACAAGTCCCATATAAGGTTTCTTTTTGGAATTGTGTAAAAGTAGTTTTCTATATGCTTGTTACATTTGCTTTTCAGTAGCAACTGTAAGTGCAAATAAAATCTAAGAAGTCTTGTTTTTCTTTGTCTCTAAATTCTCCCCTTAATATTATATAAAAGAATAATCTTTGGATCAGTAAGTTTGTTTTTAGGGTCTTGATGATTTCTTAGAATTTAAACTACTTTTCAATAGTGGGAAACTAAAATCCTTTCCCAATGATATTCCTGTATAAATAATACACCTGAGTGGTATACAGGCTGTTTTTGGAGGGTGGGGTTAGCATTGTTAAAGTAGATTTAAGTAAGCTTTTCTAAACTTAATGGGCTATTCCAACTAAGTTTGAAGGTATCTTATGTTATCTTTGTGATATGGTCCTGATACGGCTGTTTGGATTGAGATTAGCACATTGATTTTCTTGCAAGTCATGTTTTTTAATCGATCCATGGTGCCTGCCAAAGAACGTTTTACTCTGCATTTGAGGGTAGCTTGAGAATAGATGGTGCCAAAGTTTAAAATTCTTCCTCTTAAGTACCTTAAGTTCAGTAGGCAGCTCAGTTTGTTAGTTTTATGTGTGGCAATTTAAGCAAAATAAACATTAAAGAGAGTTGGAAATAAATAGCATTTTTTCAAGATAATTTTTGGTGATAGTTATTAAAAGTTGTGCTTTTGAACTGTCACCTACTTTCTATCATATCAAAGAGAAAACTGAAGACAAAAAGACTTCAGACATAATCAGGCAACTGTTGTGAAAGGAAAATTCTGGAGGCATATTACACTATGTGTCTTTTTAAGTGTGACAGCCCCGTATTAGAATAATGCAATATGTATTTTTTAAAGTTCATAAAATGATAAACTGAATCCGCCCAATCTGTTGAAAAAGATAGAAATGCTTGCTGCTTTGAATTTGACCAAATGAGTTGCACATGTTGCTATTTTGCTTAAAGCATAGTATTAAATGTTTTGCTTTTCTGCCTGTTGTGGTATTGCTTAAACATGTGATGTAGATATAATACTTCATTATAAATAATCCATGGAACAATGGGGTCAGAACTAAACATTTAAACTGAAAGCTAGAAAGCTTCCATTTAAGTGAGAATTTGGGTGCACAATGCAGTATGTTTGTATGCAGGTTTTAAAACAGCAGAGTAGTAATGAGTTATAGAACTTTATAAAGGTGGAAAATAATTTTTTGCAATCAAGAGTTTAGAAAACTGTGGTCCTTTGTTGAAACTATAAGGCACTATGATAAAGTTATAGCCTTTTTCCTTCTTCCCTTTATTTGTGAATTGAAATATGTATCTTTTATGCATTACAAAGCTTCTAGTACTCTGTGTTGACAATAGGAAACCTTTCTCTAGGTACATAGAAGAACTTAAGAGAAGTTCCATATATTGTAATTCATGGTTCAGGATCAAAATTACTGAGTCAATATTGCTCTTACATTTTTAAAAAGTGCCATCACAGGTGACAAAACACTTTTTAACTAATAAAGTGGACAGTTCTAAATAAAAGCATGATTGATACATATTACTTGAGGAACAAACAAATAATCTTCATTGATCTATATATTCTAAACCTAATTGTGAATGCACTTAATATGGGAGTAGACTGCATTGAACACACTGAGGCTTACTTCCACCTAAATGTGCATAGGATTGTGTTGTAAACTGGTTTATGTGATAATTTCTGAAGTTTAATATGTACTTATAGTAAGCTCAGAATTAATTATACACACACCACCACCACCAGAAAGAATAATTCAAATGAAATAAACTAATAGTATGCTGATTATTAAATGAGTACTTTAAGAATACTTCATTAAGAAAAGTAAATGACCCAATATCTAATACAGAAATAGGTGTGCTTAAAACATACATGTGTGAAAAACTGGTATATGTTTATTCTGAAGTAATATTGGACTGTTACTAGACACAGGCTTTTTAACATGAAAGAGAAGTACACTATGTAAATTAACTTTCTTTTAGTTTCTTTTCAAAGGTAAATTAAGGGCACAATCCTATGTACATTTAGAAAAAAGTTCCGCAGCTCCCAGCATTCCCCGTCACCTGTCCTGACTGGGGAGTGCTGGGTGTTAAAAGCCTTTTTTCTGGCTAAACATGCATAAATTGCACCCTAAATGAACTAAGTATCATGAATTAATTAAAAGCTAGTTACACCAGTAAAATGGTCATAGACTGATATTCTGTGCATCCTAAACTGGTTAGGTGGTTTTCCTAGAGAAGCATTTGACAATTTATCTTAAATCTGTGATGTACATAGTTTTGACACAGTTAAGGACTGTATATGGACTTCAGACTTAATAGTTTTAAAAGTCTTCATCTGTGACAAAAGAATCCAGATTGATAAATTGCATGAAAAACAGCTGAATTCTATCTGGAATTTTTCTACACTGATGGGATAGTTTTGAGAGTTGCAGTATATGCTGGTATGAGGATTATATTTCTGGAGAATCACATTAAACTACCACTTTTTTAGAACTTTATTCTGCAGGATGTTCTGTGTCAGGTGGAAACTTTGATACTGCATATACTATAAAGCTATGTTTTATGAGAATATGTCTCTACTGTCGCTACTCAGATTATGGATAAGGTAGAAAAACAAGTGAACACTTTCTGCTTATTTGAGTAAGGTAAAGTTAAACAAGTATGAAAGCTCAGAATATCTGTATATAAATAAAAGCAAATAATTCAAATATTGGTTTACCACAATGATGCATGGACATACGAATAAAAACATATACTTTTAAATCAGTGCCATATTAGTATAAAATAGCAAATGTGTGGTAGAATCTTGTGTATGTTTAATCACTTTTGTCTTAGGTGCACTAACGTTGCTCACTGCAACAAGACTGATGTTCAAAATGCTGTTCCTCTTTAAGTTTTGTTGCAATAAAGAGGCCTAGTGCTAATTGCAAAGCTTTGCAAAGATTCAAGTCTTCTAAAATTAATAGGACTTAAGCGCATGCTTAACTTGAAGCTTGGACTTAATTCCTTCATTAGGCACTTAAAATAGGTTAGCTTTAGGAGTGGCTGTAGTTGATGGGAATTTGTAGCTTCCTATAAGTTTGTTATATGTTCAGAAGTGTTAGGTTCTTTAGAACTTGAGGTCACTTGTTCCAGTCATTTCCTCTGGGCCCTTCTTTGTTCTATTAAGTTTGGACAGACATGATGCTTGTGGTTTTATTTTTGAAATCTTGCCTTGCTTCTGGATATATCTATAAAATGCTTACAAGACAATGCAAAACTCTAGAGATAAATACGGAGGCATCACTTTTTATAGTTATATATTATGAATATTTACTCAGGTCCTATTATATACAAAGGGACTTGCTCTCTTGTGGTTTAAAGATTGCAGCCTCTTTATGTGAAGTAAATGTGCGAACTTATATTGTTAGTTTCTTAGAAATGTCTGTTTTAAGGGGTATTACGATACCCATTTATGTTTTATGGTAGTTTTCATAGTTATTTTTAGAAGAGACAAATCTCCAGACCAATGAATTTATAATGATCAAAAGTATAGTGGAAGCATCTTCCCTATCTCATTCCATGTAGCTTTAACTGATCTTAATAGGTTTTGCTCTGAACCTTGTGACTATTTTGAAATGGACTCACCACACAGTTTAGATTTTAGCTTGAAAATCTATTCAGTTAAGTTGCAGCTGTATAAGCCTGTATAAGTTGGCAGTGGCCAGAGGATTAAAGAAAAAGAAACTTCATGACCCTCTTGCCATAGCAATGGTATCCTTTGCTGTTAATGGAGATACCTCAGTGTGTAGGACCCAATGGCCTAATCTACTCTTAGGGAAAGACAGATAAAGATGCTCCTTACTATCTCTCTCTCCCTTTGACACATGAACTCTGAGATCTTCCACC